TCTAACCCTCTTTTTGTCATTGTTATTTTGGAGTTTTGTAAAAGGCTAAAATGATAAGACAACACTCAAAAGTAACCCAAACTTTCAATGCTACCATATAAAAACTCAAAAAGTTAAACAGTGAAATAAAACAGTGCTTTATTTAAGCAGACTTAAACAATAACTTTATGGTTTATTTCAGACTATTAAACATATGCCCAATCCCATATTCTCAAAGAATAAAGCATTCTGTAAATTGATTTCCAAATGTTTAAGGACTGCTTAATTTTAAAAATTCTGCTTGCTTCTTTCTTCTTTTCCCTCCATTTTTAATTCTTGCATCTTGTTTTTTGGATTATGGATCAAAGAACAATAACTTGTTTCAGATTAGCAGACTAAAGCTGAAATTCAAATTTAACTACAAATATTTTTTCTTATTTAAGGAATTATGGCTCTGCTAATGTTGATTGTACAAGAGAATGACTATAATATATTTTCAACACAATCATTGCATCCCAAACTTGCCTCCCCTATGTACACAGTTTTTCTATTGCTTTCACAGTCAAATACTGGGGATATCAGCAATACTAAAATAGACAAACCAACTGATAGAGGCTGACATTTTCTGGATTTTACTTGGGAAGCAGAAGGTCAGACAGCCACATTTATTATTTTTATTTGAATAAAGGGCTATTTTTTTCCTCAAAAGCTAAAATGGTGGTGGACTGCGGTGACATCTCTGACTTGCTGAAAATTAAGTCATGGAAGCAGACAAGTTCTGCCTAAACTGCTACCGTGTAAAAGGCATTTTCTTGTTGGATAAATATGGTAAACTATACTGTTCCATAATGCAAAAGTAGGCATAAACATAACAAATAAATTAACTGCCTTATTAATTGCTTGCACATTATGTCTTGAGACTACTCCCACAGTGCTTCTAATAATTTGCTAGTTAAGCGCTTCTAAAAACACATTAGTAATTTTTTCCACAGTTGATTCTGAGTACAATCGCAGAGTATTAAAAAAAGGAAAGGATCTGGTAGATCTTACAGATTAAAAGACTAGCAGATTCAATGTAGTTTCAGATTTTTATAAAGTCTAGTCTATTACATCAAAATTGGTATTCTACAATGGTGGATCATTATCTCATAACCATTTGGAGGCTCCTTACAGAAAGAAAACAAGATCCAAGGAAGTGATGAAAGGAAGCAAGAAAGCATCCTAAACAAAATAAGTTATTATTTTTTAAGGAAGCAACTACTCTGTTTCTGCAACTGAAGAATCAAACTTGGGGAATCTGAATGCCTTTTGCAATTCAGAATATTCTACTCAAATTACAAATTTACAAAATTCAATGAACAGTACTTCATATGGAATAGGACACCTGTACTTTAGCAAGGCTCGCAGAGTTTCAGTAAGTGGGAGATAATCACAAAAGACTAAAGAATAATTGTGTGGTATGCTTTGGACTCAATTACTGTATCAGTCTTGTCTAAAACACTGAAATAAGCAAGGTGTTGTTTTTAAGAACAGTAAAATAAGAATATAGAACAGGAAGCTCTTTTGAGATTGTGCCCCTTTTTATTTTAAGGAAACCAGATTGCAACCAAAGTCCATAATCATTAAAAGTTATTTTATGTATGCCCCAAGATTTTGATATGCCTAACAAATATCTGCTTTTACCCCTATGGAGATCCTCCATAAGATATAGCGAACAATTTTTGCTATGTAGCATTACAGTCGCGATTCAAGAATTACTGGTCTTAAAACCCTGCTGGGCAGAATGAACTAGTCAGTCTGTTCTTGGTTTGTAGCTGTTTTCTGTTTCTACGAAATCAATATCTGAAGACAAAGATGAAAATGAAAACTTTCAAAACTAACAGAGGAAATTTTTGGCAACTAACAGAAACCAAACCACTTGATGCAAAGTTATTTAAGGGTTGTTGTTTTTTTAAAGAAAAATGCATTCACAGTGTATTTCACATGTACAACATAGGCTTTGGATTTTTTTTCAATTATCAGACTGAGCCTAAGATCCTACTTATTGGAGTTAGTTCTGTAGAACTGTATTTTGCTGTCACAAAACCAAACCAGTGCATTCATTCTGATGTCTAGTAAGTTTCAATGGGACTTAATGAATGCCAATTACTGCTCAGAATCAAAGTCTAAGAGGAATAGCAACTGAATTGGATAAAGGTACTCCAGCCCAGATTCAAGAGAAAATATTTCATGGTATTTGAAAGGGGATTAATTAGCTTAGAAAAATATATTTTCCTGTTTTTTGCAATAACCTGACCTACATGATAAGTGGAGAAATCCCCATGCATTTCTTATATACTCCTTAGAAAATGTCACATCAATCAGCGAAAGAAGTATAAACTATCTTACCTATCCAAGATTCCTGGGAAAAAGGCTATGGAGGTTGCAGAAACTGGTATTAGGAGGGTCCTTAAGACCGTAGTAGGTAAAAGCCGAACTCCATTCCTCCGTAAGGCCATTACCTGTTGCTAATTAAAACATAGTTATATCAGGAAGAAAAAACATTTAGAGGTGCTTCTTGTTCTTTTTTACAAAAAGGCTACTGGGCTTAAAAAGAAGGGTTAAAAGATTTCTGTCCATCCTACTTGAGTTTGCAAATCTTTTTTCTTCCCTTAGTCTGGCCCCATTCTTCAGAGTTTGCCTTAACAAGTCCCTGGAGTTTTCTTGGCAAGGTTTTCAGAAGAGGTTTGCCATTATCTCTTTTCTGGGGTTAAGAGAAAGTGACTGGCCCAAGGTCACCCAACTGATTTTGTGCCCAAGAGACACTAGAATTCAGTCTCCCAGTTTCTATTCTGATGTTTTAACCACTATGTCAAACTGGCTCTCACAAGAAAAGTCTAGAAGTACTTATAAAAGCTTAGTATGTGAGAAAATGCTGAGTAAGTTTAACTTCTTTATCTAGGCCTCAAAGATACACAATGAATTCCAGGCTCTGTTAACATTTTACAAGTGACATAAATGCAGTAAGTAAACTACAGAAGGCCAAGAATGTCCAGATCCCAGCTAAATCCTTCAGGCTATCATCAGGAAAACATTCACAACTGCCTTCACCATATATTCACTTGCTTCCATTCACACATGCAATCCCCTCAATACTAACTGCAGTAGAACTCATGAACCATTCGCAATAAAAGAATAATGGGAAAGGCAGTAGCAGTCGTACAGGTGTGTAAGACAACATCGAAAATCTGGAAAGAGCCAAAGGCTGAAGGTAATTGCTTTTGCTTTGTAGCTGCAATTAACACAATTTGCATCTGATTTAATACAGCAAACAGCAAATGCTAGGCTGGAAGACATGGATCATACTTGGGCTGCAACATCTTTTTTGCTATAGTTTATCCTAAAGGGAAGGGCATTACTCCAGTTTTTCAGGACTTTTAATAAGCAAATTATGTGAACCCCTAGAAGCGTAACATCTGTTCTTTAAAACCCCGAAAGATCCCAGAAGCAGAATGAATTTATTTCAAACAAAATAACGGTGAGAGTCCTAATACGGTCCCGCATTTTACCTGCTTTCTGAAATTCCTACGCTATGGACTTTTTAGAAAAACTTAGAAACTACAAAAGTTTCTTCCATTTTTTCTTTTACATGTAGATTTATTATAAAGAAAAACTCACATAAGATGAAACATATTTGTACGCTCTCCAAAATTATAATTACCTAAACATTCCCCCATTTTTAAGTAAGCTGCACAGATGAAATGTATTCTCTCTCCATCAGGCACAATAGATAAGAAATGATAGCTTAAAGGCACATTCATTATCTTTTTCATCACAAACTTATACCTTTCCAATATCTCACCCTGATTTGTAGTGACGCTCAGATCTATAAACAATTTAATAATTAGAGAAAGGAACAGATCAGTTCAGAGCGGTGTTTGCTCCAATTCTTTTCTAACAATCTCATTTGATTTTATTAAACACCCTCAAAACTAAAGGCTTTGGAAAAAATCTTCCTTTCTTTAAACTGATGGGCATGGCTCCTACTTATATTACTGACTCCAGATTTCCCCACTCTCCTCCCAATTTTTGCAGAGAAAAAGCAGGTACAATATCGTCAGCACCTCACAAATAAAAAACTCATTTTCCATCCTAGCAATAAAATTTTATTAAAATTGTTCATTAATGCTTCATATGCAGCAAGAATGCATAGATCCCAAAATATACATACGTCTTTTTTCCTTATAGAAATAGATCATTCTTTATAATAAAAAAAACCAGTAGGAACATCTTTAACAGATTACTCAATCCATGACTGACAGTTACATGAGGTTGCATCATGTATAGCTGGTGTTCCCAGCCATGTTTAAAAGATTGCATCATTCTGAACTCACTTCTCTCCTTTAACGTTATATATATTTGTTTAATTTAAATAACACTAAGCACTCAAACTTCCCACCCACCCCAAAAAACAAAACAGGAAAAAAAAAACCAAAACCCCTTTGCAAAGACAATCATATCGGATATTAAATGGCTTCTTTAGGTTGAGTTTGGTATGGGCTTTTCCTTTTTTTTTTTTTTTCGTAGAAAAAAATAATGAAGTTGAAAAACTACGGATTGCTCCATGAAGTCGCGCAGAGATCCATAGAAACTGGCAGAGAACTCCCCCCGCCAGCCGAAGGAGTCGTACTACAAGAAGCAACTTAGGGCGGAAGGGTTCTCCCATCATCAAACAGCGCGAATTAAAAGGCCAAAAATATATATTATTTCATATATATATATATATAAAATATATATATATATGCATATGCAACCCCCCCCCCCCTTCAGGCCTTTCTCTTTCCACCCCCCTCCGACCCGTGCTAGTCCTGAAAAGACCGGCAGATGTACCCACAGGGGTCTCCAACCTTGGTGACTTTAAGGCTGGTGGACTTCAACTCCCAGAATTCCCACCAGCTTTAATGGCTGGGGAATTCTGGGAGTTGTAGTCCACCAGGCTTAAAGTCACCAAGGTTGGAGACCCCTGACTGACTATACCCGCTTCACACATACACACATACACGCGCGCGCACCGCTCCATTCCTTCCCCTCCCCCCCCCCGTAACCCTTCGCCTGCCCAAACCCCACACAGCGTTGTTTCCAGCGGCGTCCAGCTGTACGGGGGAGAGGAGGGGGGGAGGGTCAACGGGGAAAAAAGGCTAGCAATGTCCGGAGGAGGCCAAAAGCGGCTCGGGCAGCTGTTTGAACAAGTTCCTGAGGGTGCTGAGTTCCCGGGAGAGCTGCTCGACTTTCTTTTGGAGCCGCTCGTTCTCGGCCGTCAGTTCCAAGACTTTGTGCTGCGTCTCCAGGTTGCGCATCTTGGCTTTGTCGCGGCTCTTGCGCACGGCGATGTTGTTCCTCTCGCGGCGGATCTTGTACTCCTCGCTGTGCTTGTCCACGCACTTCTTGGACTTGTTCTTGCCGCTGCCGCTGCCGCCGCCGCCTCCACTGGGGCCTGCCGGGTAAACGCCGCCGCCGCCGCCACTTCCTCCTCCGACCGAGGCGGACTTCGAGGAATCGGACGGGTTCGGGGTGCCGGGCGGGCTGGAAGACGACGAGGTGGAGAGGTTCCCGCTGCTCCCGCTCGGCACGGACTGGTAGCCCAAATAGGAGCGGACGGTGCTGCCGTAAGGCGAGGACATTCCCCCCAGGCCGGGCCCTGCTCCTCCTCCGCCGCCGCCGCCGCCGCTTTCTTCCTTGCGGGCCCCTTTGCAAGAATCCAAGTGCTCGAAGACCGGCTCCACTTTGGTCTCGACCATCTGCGGCGGGAAACAACCCAGCAGCGGCCCGGTTTTGTGGTTCTGTCCGACGCCCGAGTGGTGGCTGTGTCGGCTTAGGCTGATGTAAGCGTAGTCGGGGTGCTTCTTCCCGCCGCCTTTATAGTCCTGCTCGGAGAAGAGATCGGAGAGGAAATCTTGGCCGCTGCTCCCGCCGCTGCTGCAAACAGGCTCAAAGTTGCCCCCTGCTGCCGTGGAAGGAGGCGGCGGCGGCTGCTGTTGCTGTTGCTGTTGCGGCGGCGGCGGCTGCGATGCTAAAGGGTCCAGGTAAGGGCTGAAGTCGATGGCTCTCTCGTGATCCCCCACGGTGAGCTCGGTCATGGAGCGGGCCCCCGCCGCCCGGGGGTGCAGCTTGTTCAGAGCAGCCAGACAGTCCGCCTCGTAATAGAAATTAGCCACTTCCATGGATTTAAAGGCCGCGGGCTGAAGGGGGTGGCATGCCTGATCCCAGGCTACCAGGCGTTGCATGAAAGCAAAAGGAGGGGAGCGGCGGGGGCGAAGGGGAACCTCGGCCACCGGAGACACCCCCCCTCTCCAATGCCTCCAGAAGCGAGAGGGCGGGGACGTTGCAAGCGCCGACCGAGGAGACGCCGGCAATTCCTCTTTAGCCTTCCTTTGCCTTTTGCTCCTGAAACTCCTGTCCGAAATCGGGGGGCGGGGAGGGGAAGGGGCTTGAGAGGGCCCCCTTCTTCAAATCAAAAAAAATAAAAATTGAAATTGAAAATCGCGAAGGGTTGCTTAGACGCTGCAGCTGCCGGCCGACCGCTCCTGCTGCTGCTGGTTCCTCCGGACCATTTGGCGGTAGGTGCCGAGTGTCTTCTCCTTCTGAAAGTCTCTTGACTTGGGAAAGTTCCTTTGCGCTCAGTTATTTATAGGGGCGGAGCGGCGCAGCGCAAGCACAGAAAGAGAGAGAGAGAGAGAGAGGTCATTCACCGCCTGCTTGCTGTGCGCTGTCCGCTGTGCGCTCTGTGCTATTCGCTCCGGCGCTCGGAGAGGGCTCGCTTGCTGGCTGGCTCCAGCCTCAAAGTAAGGCGTTCGCGGAGCGTCTGTACTTCCCGGAGCCTTGGCCATTCATAACAAGGCGACACCACGGCGCGATTCGAGGAGGAGAGGAGGTGGGAGCAAGGGCTGGTTGGCCCGGGCTCGCCACGAGGGGTGGGGCGTCTTTGCGGCCGGGGCAAAGTTGGGCGTGCGTATGATCTTTTCTCCTGAGCCCCAGTTGGGTTTTCCCAAACCCCGAGTGGGGTGATCCGGGCTTGGATGGAAGCCTCTGGCATTCCAGATTCCCAAATTCCTTCGGCACCTCCGGTTTGGGAAGAGAAGGTTCTTTTTTTTTCTCCTTTCCCCCTCCCCCCTCTCCAAGCCAAATGCATGGACTGATTTGCGCTCCTGTTAAGAAGACGGGTCCTTTTCGCGTCCCGTCGTCCCAAGCGCACCCAAACGAGGCTTGGATAGGATTGCCTTATTCTAAAATACCTTTATAGAGCAAGGAAGTTCCGTGGAGCGCAGCAACCGGAGCTCCTGGCTCCGGTCACAAAAGTAGATCTTGCAGCCTCGTTTGTGGGTGGAGAGAAGTTTTCAGTGAGAGTGAGTGTGCCAGGCTTAAAAGAGGGTGGACAGATACCCCACTCTAAGCAGCTGAAACCCAAGATCTGTGTTTGCGTGACATGTCCATGATTAACATCGTGCATGACATTACCCAATGTTCTTGACACCTTGAACCATAAATTATGTGGGCAGAGGTTTTGCACAATATCTAAGGCTAACATTTCGTTGGGTAGTTTTAGGATACATGGGTGTCATGCTTTTTGACTAATTACGGTGTTATGCCTCTGATTAAAACAGATTTCAAAACAAACCAGCATAAGATTATGCTGCTAGTGATGGTTAGTGCAGAAACGAGGTCTGGTAAGAAATAAATTTAGTCTCAAACGTGGATGTAGCAAATGAGGAAGAGCCACTGCAAAAAAGAAAGAAAGTAAAAGAAAGGAAAGAAAGAAAGAAAAGGAAGGAAGGAAGGAAGGAAGGAAGGAAGGAAGGAATTTCTGAAACTTCAGATAAACTTGTTTTGCACTCTAGAATCCTGAATTAACATGCTCTTCACCCAATCACTCCCACTCCTGGGCACAGCATTTTGCCTTCTGCAATCCTTCGGCAGGATTGGGTAAAGATGCCTAGGTGTTGTTACAATTTATCAGTGTGTTATTCCTTCAGCAAAAGACATGATGGTAGGGAGGTCCACTTCTTCTTAGGACCCAGAAATCAGAAGATGACATGGAATTCAGCACCTTTTCAAAAGGAGGTTCCCCTTTGCTGATTGCTATCTATATATTTCTGGCCCTTTCTGGCATGGAAAGTAGGACAGTATTTGGTTCTGTTCAGAAGGAATTGCATGATAGCCCCTTTCCAGGCTAACAATTGTTATTAAAAAGCAGAAACTTCCATGAACTGCAGTTCACTTCGGCAGATGCACAGCTGCTGTGCCTGAAGTGTGTGCCCTTTGCTAGCATTTGCTAGTTCGAAAAGAAACTTGGGTTACCCTAGACTAACCCAGTTCTCCTCCTGCAATGATTCCCATAGGAAATCCAAAGTGCCCCGTGGAGGAAAAGCAGACCTGAGAGTTTTCTCTCTTCCTCATGAGCATTGGGGGAGTGACTGGTCTTCTCTCCAAGATCACCCCCATCCTTTCCCCACGAGTATCTTTTGCAGCTGTGAGTGTCGTCATTTGGTCTGGAATGAAAACAGTGCGCTTCAAATGGCGTCCTTGGAGTGGCCCTGACATTCCTTGGCAAGTTTGAGCTCTCATTGTCTTCTGAAGGACCACAGCGAGCTTGGACGTCATGAGTTTCGAGACTCTGTTTAGGTGTTAAAAGATGCCCACCTTGGAAGCCAAATGTGTGGGTCCCCTCACCGAGTAGCCCCGTATTTACCTGCAAAGAGTCATGACTCAGTCCCAGAAGAAAGGGCAAAAAGAAAACAAAAAAACAAAGCAATCGAAGCCAAACATGTAATTAAAGAAAGCAGGAGTGTCTTTTGACTTAGCAGGGGCAATCCAGCACTGGGGAGCAAATGGTAATGCATCTCGGAATAATATGAACCAATCCTGTGGTGTGAGAACACCAACGTTAAGCCAGAGGAACAGGTATTGCATTATGCGATTCAGCAGACAGCTCTTTATGAAGGCCCAAACCTCAGAGATTTTAAAAAGAGGAAGGGTTTTTTTTAAAAAAAATTGGGTATATAGCCCTGCATTCCTTTTGCTCTCTTTTCAAATCGATCTTATTGGCTGGAATATATATATATATATTTATTTACAAAAAGAACTTGGGCTTTTCTTATAGAGCATGAAATGATCTTTAAATTCATGGTTCTAGTTCTCCTTGTTATAGATTAAAAACGAAATCAGAGCATTATATATTGTATTTTTAAAAAATGAGGAATGGGTATATATAGTGATCCAAATCAGGCTTAAATTTTGATACGTTTTGGTCTTTGTAGAATTTAGTATTATTCATTCTCTCTTCATAGCAACGCTAATTCTATTGATTAACAAAATTATATTATTTCTCCACAATAATGCAGAAAGAACCGGTTTGGCCTAGTATTCAAGGCACCAGGTTAGAAAGCAGGAGACTCCAAGTTCAAGTCCTGCCCTAGCCATGAAAGCCACTGGGTGACCTCTGGTCAGTCACATTCTCTCAGCCCAATCCACCTCCGCAGGGTTATTGTGTGGGGAAAGTGGAAGGAGGAAGGTGTGTTGTATATGTTCACTGCCTTATTTGCAAAAAAATACAATGAAAGCGGTCTATAAATAAATAAATACAAGATCTGCAGAAACTTCAAGAGCAGCAGTTCTGGTGATTTGTGTGTGTGTGTATGTAAGTACAGATATTTCTTTACAGGGAATGAGTGAAATTGACAAGGCTTCTTTCAGTTTTTCTAGTGGAGGGCCATGCTGAAATTGATGAGACTTTTTTCCACCCTTCCAGTTTCACCAGAAAAAGGAAACTGACAAAATTACCATTGGGCAGATGCTTGGTATGATGCAAAAAGCAAAGAAGCGGGCGGGTGGAGGGGAAACCACATTGTATCTGTTGTTTTAGTGGTTAAGGCAGCCTTCCTAATCCAAGTGACCTCCAAATGTAAGACTACAACTCCCAGCATTCCTAGATAATATGATCAATGACTCCATCGGCTAAGCATTCCAGGAGTTGTTGCCCTCTTTCCCCCACCCACCCCCCAAATATCCAGTGCTTGAAGAAGGCTGGGCTAAAAGATGAAACAAGCTATTTGGAATAAATACAATCCTACCAAACATTTCAAGAGGATCATATGTCTTCACAAAGGCCATTCAAACAGAGAACACTTGAAAAAAATAAAATTTATTAGCTTTCCTTTTCTCTCTTTTGTACATATATACAGTTGTAGGTTAAAAGTTGTTGTAAATCAGTGTTGCTCAATTTTACCACCGTCAACATGTGTGGTCTTCAACTCCCAGAATTCCCCAGCTTACTTGGCTGGTGAATTCTGGAAGTTGAAGTCTACATATCTTGAAACTGTCAAGGTTGAGAAACAGTGTTCTAGAATGGTAAATTGTGAAACTATGTTAAAGAGCAGGATTTCCATTATTCTTGCTACATACCTACTATCTCTCTTTATTCGCCCCATAAAAGCTCCTTCTTCTATCATTAAACTATCGGAATTTCAAGGAGGCAGATTGGTGGCAGCAGCTTTTATTCAATCCTCAGCTCTTTTGCTGGAGAAATTCTTAAATACTTCTCCGACTTCAATGAGAGAATCTATTTCACTCCTCAGGAGCTAGTGGCCCATGTTCCTCAGTACGTCTCCAGGGGAACCAGACAAAACTCTTTATTTTTTTTGTAGATGCTGGTGATTTTATCCTCAGGTTAAAAGGTGTTCCCTTTCTCACAGAGTACAGATGAGTGGAGTCACAGGAACTGGAGTCTCCCACTCAGATGAAGTAGAGGGAAGCCCAACTACCAATAAAATTCCCCTTGGAGTGAAATGGATTTTTCTTACGTTATAATGACTCTTTATGACTGCATGCACTTCTTCCTTTTAGCTGGTGCAAAGAGCTTCCTTCCCAAACGTTGGCTTTGGAGATTGGGTAATGAGCAGGCTTCTTCCGGTCCTCTTGGAGTGCCAACTAATTTTCATCAGGGGCATCTAGTTTCCGACTTCCCCTTTCTGCCAGCTTCCCTTATCTTCTGCCTTGCCTGGCACCCTCTGTGCCCTCTTTCTTTCTCTGGACTATTTGGTAGATCTCTGGAACTTATGGATTGCAACAACAGGAAGTGCTGGCATGTATAGCCATCAAAGCTTGAATCCCACTTGATCCAAACTTGGAGGGAGGGAGGTAATGACACCGGCCAGAAATTGCTTGCAATTCCGATCCTTTTCTGCCGCCTCTTGAAGTCTGGGCAACGCACATACTTGGTTGAGTTGAGTTATCCTCACATCGGCATTGACAAAATCATCATCAGTGAATTGCAAAAGGCAGCTTTACCTGGAACAGCTTACATCCTGCTACAATGCCTTTTACTGCCATCAAACAACATCTGCCAATCCCAGGTTCTTGGGAAGGACTCAGTGGGTGAATAAAAATGCCAAATCAATCTAAACCTATGCTAACTCTGCATTGATCCATAATAATTTATTACATTTCTATGCTGTCCAACTGTCATCTCCTATGACTCAGGAACGTCTTTCTCTTTGTAGTGTAAATGAGCCTCTATGAAGTAACTGAACTATCATGGAGCTATCATACCATATCTCCTTTCAGCCTTAAGAGAGCAGCACAGGGTTTTTCAAGCAAGGAGAGACCTTTTTTTGTGTCTCTTTGCTGCCATCGAGTGGTTGTGTGGGTGTTCTTTTTGTCTGTATAAAATTACATCACAAAAGACATTTTGAAATGTCATTAAGCATTCATACAGCATGCCAAGCCATAGTTGTAACAATAATTTATTGAATGAACCCCCCTAGGTCACATAATAGGCTAACTCATAAACCGTAGTTTGTAAATCAGAATTATTAGGTTGCCCAAGTGAGATAGAGCTTGCACCCACTGGCCTTGAACAAATCATTATCTTGAGCAGAGTTGGAGGGGGGGGGGGAAATTGGAGAAACAAATTTTATGACTCCTCCTAATCTAATGAGGTCTAATGAGTAAGAATAAATAGCTTCAAATTATATTACAGTTTACCATATAGTATAAATCCTGGATTTATCTGACAATATAGTCCTATCTTTTAATGGGTCATTACATTTCTCAAGCCCGAAAATTTCTGCCCACATACCATACTGGGAAGCCTGCATTGGATGTACCCAGCAGTGGAAGGCTTCTAAAAGGAAGGGTGTTACATTAGGCCAGTGTTTCTCAACCTTGCCAACTTTAAGAAGTGTGGACATGCTGGCCGAGGAATTCTGGGAACTGAAGTCCACGCATCTTAAAGTTGTTGAAGTTGAGAAACACTGCAGCAGCCACTTCTCATTGCACTAAGGTACTTCGGGAAGGCCACATTGTTCAGCTAAGCTTTTAATACTTAGGGCTCTGAGGTCCATGCAGCTAGCTAAATTCAGTTGAACTAAACCTGTCTGTCATGGTCATACAAATGCTGTATGCAAAAAAAAAAACATGGCTCGGAGGAGGAGCACAGAATTTGCCTTGGGTCAAGGGCTCTACTTCAACAATGGAACAAGCAGGGAGAAAAAAGTAAAATGGGTATCTTAAGCAGCTGCATCTCTTAAAAGATACCCTGTTGATCCTTCAGCTTCTCCAATGCAAAAAAATTGAAATTACTGGCCTTTCAATAATGGCTCCCAGCTATACTTTTGTAACCTGGATGAAGGCAATTTAGCACCTGCATCCTTGGGAGAGGCCAAAAAAAAAAAGGATGGCAGGTGAGTGGGCAGATGACCAGATGCACATGGCAACATCAGACCAATGTTGTGACTTGTGTTCATGTGTCAGATGTTGGAACAAATGGTGGTCATAGCTTGAGAATTACCTGTACCTCTGTTTGAACTAGCTCAACAATTCTGCAGTCTTCCAAGCAGCTTTTTCATCCCACTCTGGAATTTCCAGGACCTAAAGTCAAGATCTCTTCCACATAAAAAAAAAGAAAAGTTTAACCTTTGAAGGTTCTTCCATATAGAACCCTGGCATTGTCCTACAGTGTCAACGTTCTCCATGCTCTCTTGTTGGTATCTTCATTGGGCAACTAAACCAATGTTTTGTCCCTTTCTACTCCAAATTAACAGAATAACAGAGTTGGAAGGGACCTTCTAATCCAACTCCTCGCTCAGGCAGGAAACCCTACACCATTCTAGAGAGGTGGCTGTCCAGTCTCTTCTTAAAAACCTCCAGTGTTGGAGCATCCACAACTTCTGGAGGAAGTCGTTCCACTGATGAATTGTTCCAACTGTTAAGAAAAATCCTCCTTAGTTCTAGGTTGCTTCTCTCCTTGATTGCAGAATTGCAGAATATCTGCTTTAGAATTTGAGTGTTTTACCTTGATGATGCTCAGTGGAGAACAACTGTCTGTCTGCAAACAAGTCCCTTGAACACCACACTCCCAATTCCTTGATTTGCCGCCTTCCCTACTGCAGATAAGCAGCCAAAGGGCCACGGGGCCTCGGGCCCCTCCCACTCAGTTTCAGGATATTTCAGCAAATGGTGGCTGTTCCTCATTTCCACCTTCCCAAACAACGATGGGGTGAGGGGAACTTGGTGCTGCAGGCAGCCTTTATTTGCACAATTGCATTGCTCAGCGGAGACAACGTTATGCAGTTTGGTTAGAGTGTCGGGAGAATAATTGCAGGCCCTTCAAGGCTGCTTCCAAGGAAAAAGGAAGAATTTGGTGGCGGAGCAGTTAGGTGTGAGGAAATGGCCAAAACTACAGCCCGGTGTGATCCTTATCCCTGAGACTTGCAGAAATACCATGCCTTCCACTGGTCAGGTGTAGGAAGGTCCCTCAAAGATGTTTGACACTCACTAGAGGAATTTAAAAATTAGTCCTGCAAACTTCATCAGCAGGCAAATTTAATATAGCGGCCCAAATCTAGAAATGCAATGTCTATTTAGTGTTCCTGATTTATTGTGCTTGGGTTAAATTATTATTTCAACGATGTGGCAATAAACAAGCAAGCAAGCAAGCAAGCAAGCAAGCAATGTACCAATGCAGTGAGTGCCTGTGACAAATGTCCAGTCATTGCAAATTCATGGAATGTTTGCTTTCCTCCTAATGTTGTGCAACGTCTCTTTTCCCCCACCTTTAAATCAATAACAACAAGATCAGCACTAGGCCCATGTGAGTCGTCATGACTCTTTCTGATCCCTGATTTGCAAAAGATTTGCCCATTTATAAAATGCAGATACGTCTGCTCATAAATATGATTTACAAACAGCCCGTTTGGAATGAAGAAGAAGAAGAAGAAGAATCTACAGCTTATGGGAAAGACAGCCCATAGTAACTGGAGGGCACCACGTGGGGGAAAACAGATGTAATGGGACCATTAAAAAAGAAAAACCGTCAGTAGCTTTGTCGCTCTCTGTGTAGAATTTACTTCGGGGCATCATTTGAAGCAGGTTTTTTATTTTATTTTTATTTTATTTTATTTATTTTATTTTGTCAAGCAATTATAAGATAACAGGTGTAAGTATAAACACAGTTATAAATACATGAAATGGATACATATAAGAAAAATAAAAACAATAGGACAGGGACGGTAGGCACGTTGGTGCGCTTATGCACGCCCCCCCACAGACCTCTTAGGAAAGGGGTGAGGTCAATAGTAGATAGCCTAAGGTTAAAG